GTTTGCTGCCACAGAGCCTGGTTATGGTTTCAGGCTGGAGATAGATTGATGTCTACGACATAGATACCCTCCCTATATTTCAATTCATGGATTATGACTATCTTTTTCCATTTCGTGTAGATTGGTATCATCTTTCTATTTTCGCTGAACGCCACACTGTATCAATGGGTATATACTCTGCACCGAGACCGTTCCTCCTGAAACCTTGAGAAGCAAGAAAACAAAATAAGTGAACAACTGTAAAATACTTTCATAATAGGTGTGGACGGGGTTAGGTTGCTTATAAAAGCCACAGAGAAGGGCGGTTCCGATATACGGAAGTACTGAGCTGAGGTATGGAAGATCAACTCTGCGGTTCATCTGGCGGACGCGTAGGACTTGGCGCAGGCCCGTCCAGCAAATCGCGCAATGAAACCATTGGCGGATAGTCAACTAGCGGTTGGATGACTCCTCTCTCGTCGACAGGGAAACGGGCCATGCCACGGCGCAGTAGCTCGGACTTCACGTTCGCGTCGGCTCGGGCCAATACCTTGAATGGCGTGTTGGGATCGTCGGACCAAAACGGCCCTGTGCTTTGAAGCCGGCGGCAGTGCCACCCTACCCAGTCTTCGTCAAAACTGTCGGCCTCGCTTACAGCGTCAGATCCTGCGTCGGACTGATCTGCCGCTGGAACGGCGGAAGTTTCGTCATCGCCAAGTTCGACGCTAGCATTCTCGTGGATTTCGTCCATCGTGCCCTGCTCGACTTCGTCATTGCTGGGAATGGTTTCAGGAATGCTGCGCGCGTCATCATCTACGCGATTGACATCGGACGAAGGAGGAACCCCACTGGTTACCTGCGGTTCCAGAGATTTTTTAGCCAGTGAAGGGTTTGTTCGGCCGGGAATGCCATGTACGTGACGTGAACGGGTGACTTTAGGTGTCACCTGCGTATCACGTAGTTCCTCCTCCTCGACCATGCGGTTGCCTCTTTGTGACGTGTCGCGATGCCTAGGTGTGTGCCGCGGATCAGCCATCGCTTCGGATGGTGAATTGGAAGTGGGATCATGTGAACGGTTGACTTTGGTAGGTGTCGGTTCCATATCAAGTGGTTCCTCAACCATCCGCCGGCTTTTTGCGGATGAGTCGCGAATTGGCTCTCTAAGAGAAGCTGGCGAGGGGCTCCGCGTTAGTTGATCAACCGTGGTTGCAGACTGTGAGCCTGGCGTCTCAGCTCCAAAGGAGTGCGTGTGGAAGTTGGAGAATCTGTCTACAAGGCTGCCGGTGAATGAAGTGTTTGTTTCACGCCGTGGGGTTGCTGGGACGCCGGCGGCGCTCGAAAGTTCATGCTGCGCAGCAGATATTTCAATCCCTTTCGCTGTGAGACTGCGCTTTTTGTAAGACGGCCTCAAGATATAGGAGGCGAAGAAATTTTCATACTCCAGTGTCTTAACATCAGCTGCCGCCATTTGATTGAGGTAACGTTCATATTCCTTCAAGTGCATGATAATAAAATCATCCCAGAGGAACGACCTTTGGAAATGTCCTTTAGCCCTCAGTGCCTGCAGTTTGGAACACAACATCGCGAAATGGTTGAAGTCGCCATCGTAGTCGGGGTAGTCACTCCGAAACTTCTCGTAGACTTTCTGCGCCTCAGCGTGGTCTGCGGAGCGGTTGATGTAGGTTTCTCGGCGTGAAATTACTTTGAACACAAGCTCTTGGACAGAGTCGCCGCCTTCGCTACACGCTATCTTTGGTCTTTTCGAAGGAGGAGTTCGTTCCCTCTCAATTTCAGATGCGCCTCGTTTCAACTGAGGCATTCGATGCATAGTAGGCGTAAATTGAGTGGGGCTCGGAAAGTCGGTTGATGTTCCATTTCCATCGTCTGTCTGCATAGAAGAGTGAGCCTCTCGGTATGACGAAAATGGGTTCGACGACTCTTCTGTGTGGCCCGGGAATGCAGTGATGGATACGCTCGGCTCACGGTCCCTTGGGCCAGAAGAGTTCAACACTTGAGCAGAATTCGAGGGAGTCTTGTCTGGAAATGACCACTCCCCACCGCTGAGCTGTGTTTCCATTATATTGAGTTCACTGGATTCCGCAGTCCCATGCGGTTGAGTTGAATTCGACATGTCCTGACCAGTGTGATGATTCTTCGCCTCATCATTGCTATGGTAAGTATTGCAAATTCGTGATTGAGAAGACGATTTTGCGGCCAGGAACGATGACTGCTCTGGCTGTTGCAACTCCTGGCTTGCATCGCCTGTGCTTTGAGTAAGCCGGCGGAACCGAACAAGATGTGCAGCAGGAGTTTCCATGACCTGCACTTGCACCTGAGTGGACAAACCCGGAAGCGATGGGTCTGAGCTACCAATCTCTTGCTCTGATTGACTTGGGTCCACCCCCAACGGACGAGGAACAGACGTATCCATTACCGAGTCCTCACTCATCCGGTCTAACTCAACTTGGGGTTCTTGCAGGTGAATTCGATCGTCACCGTCATCAAGCCGAGGAAGAGGCTCCCCGCTAGCTTGTAGGTGCAATTCGGTAGAAAGTGCAACAGATTTGTGGGACTCTCGTGCAAATTCTGGCAAAGGCTCAAGCTCCTCCTGTTCATGCGATATTTCCTGATGAACGTCTGTCCGTCGTTCCTGCTCCACATCATTGGATGGCTGATCGTACGGGCCATTTCCTCCATTGTTTCTATCCATAGCAGGCCTTTCTACCTGTCTTGCCTCAGGCGGGCTACTGTCCGCAGGTAGGTCCCGACCCCGCGGAGGAGATTGCGACCATTCGATCCGATCGCCGCTTGGGGTCTCATATTCCGAGTCGGAGGAGCTGGTAGCACCTGATGAGCTCGGACGGGAGCCGTGAAGCTCCAGGGTCTCCAACTCCTTGATCCTACGTTCTTCCGCCCGAATACTTCTTTGCAACGCAATCTCATTCCATTGCTTTAGGAGCAAAGGGGGCACGTTGGGTTGCGGATAGCCCTGGTCGGGGGCTGGTGGTAACCAGCAAAGCTTGGCCTGCTCGTCTAGCAGCTTTGCCTGATCCTTGGGTATAGTAATGTCTTCTTTTCGAATCTCTGTCATACCATCCCAAGGGTCTGCATTGCTGGCATGGACATCAGTGGGAAGAGTCTCCACAATTGCATCAAATCTTTCCAAATGATTTCTCTGGACGATCTGGCTGGGGACCGCCTCTTTGTCCAATTTGTGATCTGGCTCTTTGTTAGAAATTGTCAACGCTCTCTCCTGGGTCTTGGTCTCGAAAGGCGATTTGCCGCTTCCGATCTTAGCTGTTACTTGACCAGCAGTGTCGGTATCAGTTTGATCAAATTCCTTGACGGTTGCATTGCCGTTCTGACCTGGGTCAAAAACCAAGGAACCTGCGGACAACTCATCGATATGTGCGGCGCAACGGTTAATATTAGGCTGTTTTGTTGCTTCGTCAGGAGCAGATTGATCCCTTCCTGAGGCAACAACATTCGTATCATTGTCTTTCTTTTGTTGTGAGTCTTGCGCCGGCCTGGCAGGGGGTTTTAAGGAACCCAGACGCGTCTTCGCAGTCGCAAAGGCACTGGCACAGAGCTCTACTGCTTGCTTTGGGGGCATCTGGGACATTATCTGGTTTTGAGAGTTGTTCAGTCCATCTGTTTCGCCCTCCTGCGACTTGATTGACTCATCGGAGCGGTTCCCATTGCCCGCCCTATCTGTGGTGGCAGTCTCTCGAGACTTGGCCTTTTGGAGGGCAGATAGCATCACGTCATACACCTCACGATTTCTTCTGATTATCCTGCCCTGTGGTGGCCCCTTGAACCTGCTTTTGTCCCATGCGATGCTGAAACGCTTGACGTATAGATGAAGCTTGGGCTCTGAGGTGGTATATTCGAACACAAGCTCGAAATCCAATAAGTTTATAGTATGTCCTCGCATAACATCCTTGCTCAACGGTTGGTCAGGGTAGTCCCTACGATATTCTTCTAGCGACTCTCGAGCAAGGATCGCTTGTATCTGGGTATTTGTGTCCGTCAAATTGGGCATGGGTGATCTGTCGTCTTCCGTCCACTAGTAGCAAAGATGAACTTTTTAGTAAAGTCTGCTCAATAGATATTGAGTTTGGCTTACTTACCTTTACTATTAAAGCCGAATGCGGACTATTATCTGCGAAGCGTAGGTTACTTCCATCATCTTCTAAGCACATTTCGCTCTTTGGTTCGTCGAGGTATTGGTTTAGCAATCGTTCAACCAGAGGAGCGATCCAGATCTCTGAAGAAGCCATCGTGCGGATTAGGCAATTGGCTTAGGATGAAGAATATCATAGGAAACATCATAGGCCGTGAAAATAGAGGCTAAGTCAAGGTATTATTGCAAGGTCACTGAAAGATCTTATGGTAGTACGGAGTAGTGGTTGCTGGAATTGGACAGACAGTCTGCAATAATACAATGCATTCCATTTTAGATCACTTCAATGCTTGAGCAGGCGCTCTCATTGTATAAAAATGGACTGACCATGGTCTTCTGGACTTAATTCACTATTATTATTCAGGACAATATGTTTCCCTTTCATGCTTGACGCGGGTTCCACGCGAAGGACCGCCTACCTTTAGCGGCAAACTGCACCACAGCCACAGAATGCCTCAGCCACATCCACGTCATTGGGCAGCAGCGCACATGTCCGCCCGCATCGTTGGAAAGCAACAGAAACACAGCATCAGTCAACAATCAACTTCCTTTCCTCCTCTTGACATTTCCCATGAAATAGTCATCCTTGCCTTTGGTCCCATATCTGTTCATAATGTAAATCACGTCTTGGGATGATGCTCACTCTATCAGCTCAGGCTCCATGCTTACCTCACAGGCTTCACTCACTGTTGCGCCTCAGGACCACAGCGAGCTGTTCTGCAGCAGCTCACGCACATAAATTTCCGAAATCTGACACATACTGAGCTAGACTGACGGTTGTCTCATATTTCGAGTGTATAACAAAAGTGCCATCGCTGCTTGGACACAAGGAACTCAGATGGCCTATCAACAGTCTCAAGGGACGTCAAGTCCATCCGCGTCATCCATCTTCCTCCCCCTTGGGCGACGAGGTTCACGAGCTTCCGTCTCAACTCAGGCTGAACGGGAAAGTCTGAATGCAGCCCTTGACCAGATACATACGGCTGCCTATCAGTCGGATTCTCTCACCGTATTCAATGATTTCACTAGCCCTCCAGTTCCGGCCTCCGCGACAGAAGAAAAGAATCTTTCAGCAGAGCTGCAAGGTGGTTTGAGTGGGTTGTACAGCCGTTTTCGAACTTCTGTAGGAGGAATGAGAGACATTGTCAGCGGTGTTGGGAAGGCGTCGGACAAAGGCGCTTCTGACGGACCAGCAATCAAAAGTCCACCATCAGAGCGCTCAGTTCCCAAGCTCGCTGGTGATTCGACAGGTCCCATGGCTGAGGCTCAGCAATTCAACCCAAGCTCTTCTCAGGGGTCTAGGCTGCAATCTCCAACGCCTGGCAGCTCGCAAAACACTCACGATCTGCCTACAGGGAAAGGTTCGAAGCTCTCCTCGAAACCCGCAAGCGTATCCTCCAAGGCCTCTGTTTCTCCCTCGCCTGCACTAAAATCCCCTACCGTACCCTTACCGAAATCTACCAGCAATCCAGCAACCGTAGATCCGACAGTTACTGAACTTCATGTTAGTGCTGTCAAGGAACCCATGCATTACTCAAGCAACACTTCCGTCAATCTATCTTCCAGCAGCCTACAGACCATGGGCTCTACGGGTACTGAGAGAGAGGAGAATCCTTATGTTCCTTCGATGAGTTCGTCCGGTTTCAGCGAGCGACTAACCCACTCACCAGCACTCTCGGCGAAGGCCCACCACCTGCCCAACGAAGGACATGCGGCATTAGACTCCAGCAACAAATCGAAGCTGACAAGTCAACCATCCGACAGTACAAAGAGACTAGAGCGGCATACTTCACATGATCTCGAGCCTTCATTGCCTGCGCCGCTGCAAACGACGAAACATACCATGCAGGGAGAAGTCGAGGGGACGTCATCTTCTCAAGAGAGAATCAGGTCGAACTCCGCCGCCTCTTTCAACCTCGATCGCGCTTCGGTAACTGCGAGCTCTGGAACGACCAGTGTTTCTCAATTGCCTAGTAACAGGGCTGGTTCCTTGCATAATTCTCAGGGTCCATCTACAGGCGCAACCTCCTTGTCGCCGATAGATGGGAACCCGAAATTAGGCTCATCGTCCAAGGCTCCAGCCAAGGATAAACCCAAGGATAGACCAGGTATGACCAGCCTAAGCCGCTTCTCGGCCTATGGTACGTCCAAAAATCACTCAACCGATCCCGCTTTGACGCCTATAAATACCGCTGTGGACTCTTTTCCCGGTCAGAACGGACGAAATAGACGTCCAAATGCTGGAGGTGATGGGGTTGTATCGCAACTCAGGAGCAAGCTACTCAGCAAAGAATTCTGGATGCGCGATGAGAATGCAAAAGATTGTTTTCATTGCGGCGAAACCTTCTCCACATTTCGACGAAAGCATCATTGTCGGACGTGTGGCCAGATTTTCGACTCCAAGTGTACCCTTTTGATACCAGGCGACAGGTTCGGTCAACCTGGATCGATCCGCGTTTGCAAGCCTTGTGAAGCTATGATCAACGGACATGATGACGATTCTTCCGAGTTCTCAGATAGCGAACAAAGCCCCATGGTGGTAAATCCCAGGCTCTCTGAGTTAGGCTTGTTGGGCAATTATTCACGAACGTCCGCCGATGACGATGACTCGTCGTCTATAATTTCTCAATCCATCGAGCACGTTATGAAGACGCCCACGATGGCGATACCAGCAACGCGTCGCGCAGGGGAAGGCCATAACCGCCGTTCAGCCGTGCTTGAAATCAGCCCAGAGCGACCCTTGGTGAGACCTACGTCGTCAAGATCCCTCAAATCAACCCTGAACGGACGCCCGCACGCAATGGGTCACAAGCGTCATCACTCTCGCCAACAATACATTCGGAATTTCAAATCTTTCCATGATGATCGGGCCCCTTTTCAACGGCGAACTGTGGAAGACAACTCCGCGAGAGCTCGATTGCCTGCGTTTCACAAAGATAATATTATCGACCCAGACCTTGCCCAGTATCTCTCTGACGATGCATCAAGCGGGGATGAGCAACCAAATTTGCTATCTGCAGTCTCGGAGGGCTCTCTGTCGAAGAGCGGAGGCGACAGCGAAAGGACGACGTTTAGTGGCCTCTTGGCTGCCATGAAAAAGGGTCGGTCTGCTTTCGGAGAGCGAAGCGCTGCCAGCTTCATTACCTCTGCGCGTGATGGAGATGAAGGTAGTTACGCCAGCTCGAGAGCTGTCAATTTGCCACGCCCTTCCCGTCGGCGCAATCTTAGCGTTGCAAGCAGTATCCACCGCCATTCTCCCAGAGCGTCGAAGGACAGTGTGTCAAATCCACATGATGCCACAGCTGCCGGTCATGTCTTTCCGACTGGAGTTACAGCGAGCGGATTCAAGATGACCAGAAGCTCATCTATGAGAGGAGCGGGGGCTCCCCCGGTAGAGTTGAATAAAGCTAGCCTGCAACATGTTCGCAAACTCCTTCGCCAGCTGCTGAAGGATGCTTCCGTGCCTCACTCTAACAGTTGGGAGACTGCACTTCTGCCTATCCTCCTCAAAGCTGCCGATGAAGTCGTTCCAGACGTCCAGAACGGCGATGACATGGACATTCGGCACTATGTTAAGCTTAAAAAGGTTTTGGGCGGCCGCCCGGGTGACACGTCCTACGTATCAGGCTTAGTGTTTACCAAGAACCTCGCTCTCAAAAGCATGCCTCGAAGCATTCCCCATCCACGGATCTTAATTATCACTTTCCCTCTTGAATACGCTCGCCACCAGCAACACTTCATGAGTTTAGAGCCCGTTATTCGCCAAGAGCGAGAGTTCCTCGAAAATCTTGTCAGCCGAATAGCTGCTTTGCGGCCCAATTTACTTCTGGTTGAGAAAAATGTATCTGGCTTGGCGCTTGAACTGCTAGAAAAAGCCAACATTGCGACGGCTTACAATGTCAAATCGTCCGTGCTTGAAGCCGTCTCTCGGTGTACTCAAACCAGGATCATAACCTCTATGGATAAACTCGTGACAACTCCAGTGCATAGTGATTGTGGCAGCTTCGATGTCAAGACATACGTGTACAACGGTCATAAGAAGACCTATATGTACATCTCCGGTTGTCGCAAAGAGCTTGGTTGCACAATTGTTCTTCGCGGAGGCGACCATAATGTGCTCGCAAAGGTGAAACGGATAACAGAGTTTATGGTGTACGTTGTGTATAATCTAAGCCTTGAAACGTGCTTGATGAGAGACGAATTCGCCCAGATCCCTACGTCAATTGAAGAAAGCGCCTCAAATGCTGCCGACGAAGCGGCCAATGTTGGGACATCATCCACGATGATCAAATCAGAAAACAGGTCTGCTATCATACCGCCCTGCTCCCAAGGAGGGTTGGATGAGAAGAAAAGCGATCCAGCTTCTATCTGCAAGACCGCTATTACAACAGATGGCACAGAAGTGCCCGATGACGTTCCCATGCCGACTTATTACGAAGATATTGTGCGAGATACTGAGACGAAAATCCTGTCCGCTTCCCCTTTCGTGAAGTTTGAGCCTCCTTACCTTCTTACACGTGCTCGAGAAATGGAAAGAAGGCTCGCATATTTGAAGCGTCTTCGTGATCAGGACCTCGGCTCCGAACAAGCTTCAGACGAGAAGGCCAAGTCGCAAAAGTTTATTCTCATAACACCTGAAATGGTTCATCAATCTCCACAGAATGCTCCTCCAAAAGTCAAGGAAGTTCTGCATGCGGCTCATGATGCCGAATACGACAACGCCCTGCATCACTTTCAGACTCAAAAGCGTCAATGGGAAGCATACATCTCGGGCGCCTCCGGTCTCTTCGATCCATACGCCCATCAGAATATAGTCGTGCTCTTTAGTCTGGTCTGCACTACAACATCCATCCCCTGCTCCGGCCCTGATCTGTTCGCTCTTGAGTACTATAACGAGCACGGTGACGATACGATATTCGAGCCGGACTGTACTCTTGGACAATATGTGGAGGACATTTGCCAGAACGCCAACGCCATTTGCACAGCAAATGGCTGTGAGAAGCGGATGTTTGAACATCACCGTCAATACGTACATGGAGAGGCTCAGATAAGCGTATTTGTTCAGCCCTATCCATCAAAATTGCGAGGTCTTCAGGACACGATTCTCATGTGGAGTTGCTGCAAAGTCTGCGGTAATGAAACACAAGTCTTTCCCATGTCAGATAGCACCTGGAAATATTCTTTTGGGAAGTATTTGGAGCTTTCTTTCTACAGCAAGAACTTACACGCTCGCGCTGGTGTCTGCCCTCACGATCTACAACGTGACCATCTTCGTTTCTTTGGCTACAAAGACGTTGCTTTGCGGATTCACTACGACACCATCAATTTGCTTGAAATCATTGTTCCAAGAACATGGGTCACCTGGAAAGTGGACAACGACTTGAAACTGAGAAACGAGGTATACCTCAAGATAGAACGGCGTCTGAACCGATTCATGGGCTCTGTCAAAGCACGGTTGAAGGGGATCAACGTTGATAGTGTCGTTCCAAAGTTGGCAGACGCGTGCAAGGCCGAGATTGAGGTACTGACTAAGAAAGCCAACGAGGACCACGCCGCATTGATCAAGCAGCTACAAGACAAATATATTAGCTCGCGATACTGGGAAGTGACTCCATTGAATGAAGTCCTCCGCTCAGTCCAAGAAAAAGTCGTGGAATGGGATACTGCCTTTGCTGATTTTGAGAAAAACTTCTTCCCGTCAGAAAAAGACATTAGGCGGCTGGCGACTCTGCAATTGAAGAAGATTTTCCTTGATAAGGACTCCTCCGTAACGTCTCTCACGTCAACTGAGGAGCCTCCGACAACGCCGACCGAGGCCGAAAATGGTCATGACCAAATGCCTGAACAACCGCGCCAAATGCGTCGTATGACACTGTCACCCGAGAAAGCTCAGGATGTCCTCGTATCCGTGGTGGAAGAAGATTCGGGCAAAAAGAATGTCCAAGAAGCTGCCTCGTACAAGGATGAAGCGGCACTACCGTCGTCGCCGAGCCCGGAGGAGAGAGAACATTCTTTTCCTCCTGCAGCCGAGACAGATGAGCTGGAGGGCCCCCAGAGCGCTGAATCCAATGCTCGATCGGCTCTGTCGGAGCTGGTAACTCCTTCAACCACGCAATCTGCCAGCAGCCTGGGCATCACCGGTGCCATGTCGGATGCCGCTGATTCAGGCAAAGTTTCGCCAGAGCATCCTTCTACTGAGCAAGGGGACAGCCAAGATCAAGATTTGGGTACAGAGTTGCAAAGGCCTACAAGTATATTAAAACAACCCACCCCTTCAGGTATCCCTCGGCTCGCTGAAGGGGTTGTTCGACGCACTGGAAAAGCGACATCTCCACCACTTCTCCGCGCCCAGTCCCAGCCATTGCAAGGCCAAAGGGACAGAGCAAAGATGAATGTGCCGCTGCGCGGTTTCAGGGCAGGAGCTGCAGGTACTGGCGGCTCAGACAACATCTCCAGCGCAAACCCGGAATCCAAATTTAAACCCTCTGACAGAAAGTTTTCAGACCGGTTCGGCCTCACTGCGCTTAGAAATTCTCGTTTAGCGCCCGGTCCATCGCTCATACCTCGGTCTGTCCCGGGTAGAAAGAATAGTACCCGTGTGTCGAACTTGGCCAAACATTTCGAGCAACTGAGCCGCGAATTCGAGAAGGAGCGCCAGAGAGAAAGACAGCAACGAGCCGCTAAGGGCACACACTCGAGGGCGTACCCCTTGGCATCGTCAAAGCCGATTGTGGAAGTCTACAAGAATGTTAGAGACGCAGTGGAGGAGCGAGAGCCTTCGGGCGAAGGAGAGGACTTCATGCCTTCGACACCACGTCTTCCGCTCAATGAGTCGAGCATAGAGAGCGGCGAATTGCTGGAGAGAACTTCGGAAGAAGAGCCTAGGGACGAATCCGTCTCGCAGTGTTCCATCGCTCATCCGTCCTCGACTGAGGATAAAATCCAAGGCGATCGCCCAACCGTCTCAGAGGGTGAAGAGGAGATTCATAGCGATGAAGATCGAGCCATAGCCGAGGACCTCCACACGACTGACTCGAACGATGAACTGGCTAAGCTGTCTCCGGAGGACGAACAGCTCGATCTCAAGGAGCTCCCGAAACATGAGCGAAGCAACCTCTTGAAAATGCTAACGAATTTCTGGTCGGAGCGCTCTGCGAGTGGTTGGACACCTCTCGATTATCCCCTTAGCATGTCCGATCATGTGTTCGCAGATTGCGATATCATTGTGCGAGAAGATGAGCCTAGCTCCCTGGTTGCATTCGCGCTTGCCTCAAGCGATTATAAAGAGAAGCTAGCCAGTATTCAGAGACGATATGAGCAACTTGACGAAAAGAGGCCGACCTCAAAGGAGGGCTCGGACGCCATCAATGAGGCACGAGTTGAACATGCATTGCTGAGGTCTACTGGCACTCACCTCAAGTACCAATTTCAGGAAGGGCAGGCTAAGATGTTATGCAAGATATTCTATGCGGAGCAGTTCGATGCCCTGCGGAAAAAGTGTGGAGTGGCAGAGCGAATTGTGGAATCACTGTCTCGTTGCGCTAAATGGGATTCCAAAGGGGGCAAGACCAACTCTTTGTTCCTGAAGACCCTGGATGATCGGTTCATTCTGAAATCACTTTCGCCTATCGAAACACAGGCATTTCTCAAGTTTGCTCCGGCGTATTTCCAGATCATGTCTGAAGCGCTATTCCACGAGCTGCCCTCTGCCATTGCAAAGATGTTTGGCTTCTACCAAGTCATCATCAAAAATCCCGCCACAGGAACAGAGTTCAACTGGTTTTTGCTCTTGATGGAGAATCTCTTCTACGATCGAGTGCCGACGCGGATCTTCGATCTCAAGGGATCGATGAGAAATCGCAAAGTCCAGAGTACAGGGGAGCGCAACGAAGTGCTCCTGGATGAGAACATGGTGGACTTCATCTATGAAACACCACTGTTTGCCAGGGAGCACTCGAAGAAGCTCCTGAGCCAGAGCGTTTGGAACGACACCCTCTTCTTGGGTCGCCAAAATGTTATGGACTATTCGTTGATGATTGCCATTGACGAGAGTCGGTCGGAGTTGGTGGTCGGTGTGATTGATTGCATTCGCACGTACACCTGGGACAAAAAGTTGGAATCATGGATCAAGGACCGAGGATTTGCTGGCGGAGGGAAGAATCGGCCTACTGTCACGAGTCCCAAGGAATATAAGAGTCGATTCAGAGAGGCAATGGCTCGATATGTGCTTCAAGCACCAAGGTATGTGGTTCCAGGGATTTGATTGGCACTAATCGCTAATATCATTCCCAGTTGCTGGCATCAACTCCAACCAACCCAACCATATCGAAATCCTGCGGAAGCCCATATCCATCACCTACCTCAGGCTCCTCAGATCATCGATGGTGACGATGTAGATGCTAATGGTGATTCCGGTGGTTCTCAGAGCCAAACTTGACGGATGAAGTGACCACGACAACCTTACGAGCTTACGACAATTGATCTACAACTGGCACGCTGCCAGAGGCTATGACTTGCATTCAAGGGAGGCGTTAGCGGCCGTGAACATACACAGAGGACCTCTGAGTCTTTTTTTTTTTAGCATGCTCTCAGAGCATTGTACATTCCCTTCTGATTTGTTTTTATCGAGATATGCATACGACACGAGCACATAACCCATGGAGTACTCAGCGACAGGTGACTATACTCTCACATGACTTTCCATTCTGTTTACTCCTGAGAATATTTTTGCATAAATGGCACCTGGCAGACAAGCAATCAAGCTTTTAGATACAGACATATTGAACAAAGATTGAAACAAGCTGTCAAATGTAGTACTGTTTACCTATATGCAGAGTCCTATCTGCTCCAGCTTCCATTTCACCGGGCGAAAAGTAACCGAACAATCGGCAGATTTCGGGACGACCGTGGGGAGACTCGGGGAATATGATTTGCCCTGGGTGTTCAGCAGCTCGATTTTTCAATGAAGATCAGTCAGAGTATCTTTATTTTGTCCGTCTTTCAATCCTACAGGAAATCTCTTTTTCTTCATCCATACTCCTATCTCTTGATTCTTATTGTGAGACGTGGATCTCTGCTTTTATACGGTCGCTGATCTGACGGAGAGAAACACGCATGCCTCAGGAACGTCGGCCGAGCCTCGGCTTCAGCTGCGTCTTCCTGTTCCTGACCCGCGTGCGAGGGTCTTTCCCCGCATCGCTCCCTGGACTCTCTTTTCCTTCTTTTTTCTCTCCTGCTGCGAAAGATTATCTCCTTTGCCTGCCCTCAGTGATGAGTATTCTGGGCATTTGATGCGGCATTTGAGATTGCTACGTCCAGTTGGTCTACGCGATTCTTCATCCAGCCGTAACCGGTCAAAGTCAACAGTGACAAGCGCTGCCACATAACTAACATAGAAGGCTCTACTAACATCTTCCGCTGATTGAACAGTGATTGATTTTCGTTCTCATCATATACATGAGCAATTCATTAATACAGCATTAGGAGACTCCCGCCTGAACGATGGCTGATCAACGCTTCAAAACAAGATTCCACAGCGAATTTATGTTCCCCAGGGTAAGCGTCCACTCTCGCGCATCCAAACTCAATGGTGAAAACAGCAAGCTCCTCCGGGCTGCTATGGTTTCGTCTCCATGTCTCATCATGTCCACAGGCGAAACCTCGCAGTGAGAAAGATGGGTGATTGTCTGGAGTGCGCGCGAGTTCATCGGTCGTCGAGACATATCTACAAAGTCTAAGACAAGACAGCCCCTTGTCGCAACATGATCCGACCGCGGTCATTGCCGTGTTATCCACCGAAAATGGCAGTCATGATCGAATCTACTCTTCAGCGAGGCCAAGGTTCTCCTCAGCTGGGACCACCCGGACAGTGTTGGTGTGTCCCATGCCACCACGCCAGCCCTGGACACAGACGATGTTGTCGCCCTTGTTAATGAGGCCGAGCTTGAGAGCGTGGGAAATACCCCACTTGAGGCGGCGGTCAACATCTTCCTGCCAGATCTTGACGTTGAAATCGGGCTTCTTCTCAGGGAAGGTGAAAGGCCAGACACCACGATACAGATGGGAGTACTTGATAACACGAATTAGCGAAGCTCAATTGTCCAACGACGAAGATGACATTGGACTTACCCGAGCGGCCATGGGGTTGCGAGTGACCATGATGATAGGGCAGACAGGGCGGTACTTGGAAAGAAGGCGAGCAGTTTTACCACTAAGAATCAACTCCGTCAGCCAAATTCGATCAACCAGAGGAGAACAAAATTACATACCTGGTGGTCAAGACAACAATGGCACCAGCGTTGAGCTCAAGACTGGCGCTGACGGCAGCCATGGCGATAGACTCGACGGTGTCAGTGGGGCGGGGAGCAAGGTTGCGCAACTCGTCAAAGACCTGGAAGTGAGGAATAGCGACCTCTGCAAGCAAGCAAGTCTCGGACATCATCTTGACAGCCTCGGTGGGGTAATTGCCCTTGGCAGTTTCTCCGGACAACATGACACAGTCAGCACCGTCAAGAACAGCGTTGGCAACGTCCGACACCTCCGCACGGGTGGGACGGGGGTTGTATGTCATGGACTCGAGCATCTGAGTGGCACAGATGACAGGCTTGCCCTTCATGTTACACTTGGCGATCATCATCTTCTGGGCCAGGAAGACCTTGGGGGCAGGAATCTCGATACCCAAGTCACCACGGGCAACCATGACACCATCTGTCTCCTCGAGGATCTCATCGAAGTTGTTGACACCCTGCTGGTTCTCAATCTTGGCGATAATTTGGATCTCCTTGCCCTCCTCACCAAGGACTTCACGAATGTGACGAATGTCGCTTCCGCGACGGATAAACGAGGCGAAAATCATGTCAACCCTGTTCTTGACACCGAACTTGAGATCGCTAATGTCCTTTTCGGAGAGAGCGGGAAGGTCTACGTCGGTGCCGGGCAGGTTGACACCCTTTCTGGAAGAGATGTTGCCATTGTTCAGGCACTTGACACGCAGGGTCTGGTCGTCAACAATCTCGAGCACCTCGAACGAGAGAATACCATCGTCCACATAGATCAGCTTGCCGGGTTCGATCACCTTGGTGATGTTCTTGTAGTCGAGGTACCTGCCAGATTTTCATCAGCACATGGATTCCTGGAATAGCCTCTTTCGAAAGCTGTGGTTTTCCGGGGTCATGTCAACAACGCTCGGATTTTCAGTATACTTACATGTTCTTGTCGTCGCAGGCGGTAGCATATTGCTCGTCAGTGGTGATGTTGAGTTCATGGCCGGCTTTGATAGGAATGTCCTTGTCGCCGACGGTGTTTCCGGTACGAATTTCAGGTCCTTTCTAATGCGGGAGTCAGAGCTGAATGGCGTCGGGAAGCACCGGATGTCATGAAACTCACGGTGTCAAGGGCAATGGCAACAGGACGTCCGGTCTGGACTCTCTCGGCCTCACGGGCGTTGTCGATGACAGATTGGTGGTACTAGAAACGTCAGAATTCTGCTCGCAGCCTTCCCTCGAGCTATTGGGGCGCTGAATTCAGACTAACCTCATACGAGCCGTGAGAGAAGTTCATGCGAACGACATTGAGACCAGCTGTTGAATATTGTCAGCTCATACACTTGGCGGAGAGAGTCTGAGGAGATATTCCCCGCTCGTACCTTTGCGCAGAGCATTGATCTTCTCGACGGAGTTTGTCTTGGGGCCTGCGGAGATAGCCGACGTCAGTATCTTGCGATGCCAAACAATTCGTAGGAGTGCGAATATTCTCAGGATAAGATTGAGAAGCTCTGACATACCGATGGTGCAAATGATAGAGGTGCGACGGAAGTTCTTTGCAGGAACCATCTCCGTGTTCAGCTTGGCGTGCCATTCCAGCTTCATACGGTTGCTCAGGTGGTCAAGAGAAGTGCTGGCGGCCATTTTGTACGACTCCTCTGATGGAATTGAAAGAATGAATGAAAAGAAGGAATTGCTTGAGATGGATGATGTGGTGAGGGGAGAGAGGAGAGGATAGAAAGTTGGACTGAGGTGAAAGCAGAGCAGCAGTGTCGATAAAAAAAGAGGGACCAGGACCAGAGTTGCTCCGGTGAGGGAGGGAGAGAGGGGCTCCAGTCAGGCTCCGTCGTGCGCGGGAGGGAAAATACTGTTGGCCGTCTAGTGCCCCCGCGGGCAGGAGAAAATTATCTACGCTGTAGTTTACAGTCTGTTGACTGTGGTCTGAGTAGTACTACTAATAGACGGGTAACTAGTTAGTGCACTGCGAGTTAATATTAATCACATCTTTGAATTTTGATTACTAGTCTTATCTATCTTCAGAATGCTGTTATCAGGTCGCAGCATAAAAAGAAATAGCCCTGCACCCCATAAACTCCAGGAAAGATCTGCCTGGATGAGCAATGAAAGGTTCACGGACTACTAGCAAAGAGGACTATTGGCCTAAATGCACGACTGCGAAATATTGACATCAGCTTTCTGTTGATAGTAGGTACATAAAATAAGATATTGATAGGATTTGGTGGATGGGGACCACAGATTCGCTCTGATCCCTTCTGGCTGCTGAGAATACCTAAGAGTCAAGTACCGAATTGACCGAGCAGATTCAGGCTCTGATTGGCTGGCTTGTTAAATTTTCAAAGAGCTCCAGCCTTTGGTTGTTCAGCCTTCAAAGCGAAGCTAGGTCCGGAGTACTGAGGCTAGCGAACAGCCGCTGGCAACAGGACCGATGCGCACACCGGCCAGATCACTAGTCCTCTTTCCGTTTGCGTGTGCATCCGTTAGCATAATGAGTAAGCATGCATAATAACAACCAATGTTCAGTTGCTTACTTGTGGTTACCAGCCTCTCCCAGCCACCTCACTCACCGCCTCTTGGATACCTACTGATATTGCCAGCAAAACAGCCTTTGTCATGTGGAAGTGGAGCGGCAAAGGCCAGTCTGGTTGCCCCCCACGCGAGGTTATCACATTCACCACCTTCCCCGACTTCCGCCTGTCTTCCGTACAAAGTCCTACTCTGCTTTCTTGACTGCTAGTAGTGAACGTCGCTGAAGTGAATTGTACAGCTTTCCTCCTCGCTATTACTCTTGCCGCTAAGCTCTGGAAAAATTTGAGGAGCTGTGTTTTGCTCGGCTCTAGTCATCATGGTATGTTTTGGTTTGTCGGCGTTGGGTGCCTACTATCTATGTAGATGGGTAGCTATCCCGACGAGTGCTCTGAGATATGCCGATATGCTGATGTAGGATCCGGTGCAGCTGGGACGCCTGACTCACTACGCTTTTGACGCTGTGCTCCGTAAGTACTTCTCTATCCAGTTTGCAGCAAAGCAGAAGGGAATGACGGCTGATGGGTACTTCTTATAGTCTCTGCCTTTCTGGCAGGCATCAAGCGCTCGACTGGCTTAACGTAAATATGCCCCGTTCCCTGTGTATATTTTACACCCCTGGCGACTCGAA